TTTTCTGTTTCTGGAAAGATTCACAGCCTTGGAAACCCTGTTCAGGGTCATTATGCATCAGAACTGACTCCACAGCACACCATCATAGGGTTTCTGAGGAGTGGTTAATGGGTTTGAACCATTGACCTTGTGATTAGCAGTCCAGTTCTTATTCTACAGTGCCACAGGGCAATAGTGGGCTGCACAGACAGGCTGAGAATTGAACCTGGGCTTCCCATGTTGTAGAAAAGAATTCTACCACTGAACCACCTAGTTAGAGTGCTTTAAATATATATATATATTTTTTTTTTTAAATGGACACTTGTGGGGGGAAAAAGATTTTGAGGTGATGGCTAATATCAAAATTTCAATAAAATAAAGCGGATACCTTCCCAAATTACTGAAGTTTTGCAACAAGTTTCTAGAAGGCTTCCCTACATAAAACATTTTTTAAAATGGATCAGCCATTTTAAGAGCTAAGTAATGAACTGAGAGAGAAGATCATCAAGCCCATAGAATTCATATTTATTCCATAGCTAGTGAAGTTGATAGCTCACATGGTTCAGCATTTTGTTGTTGTTAAGTGCTGCCAGTCGGTTCTGACTCATAGCAACCTTTTATAGGGTTTCTAAGGAGCAGCTGGTGGGTTTAAACTGCTGATGTGCACAGGTCTGAAGAGCATAGAATTCTCTGGGGGAAAAGTTAAGAGAAACAGCACCACTACTTATAGGAATGTATAGACCTAAATAAAGGTTATGTTGAGAAACAATAGCTTCACATTTTGATAGTTTTCTAAATACATGTTTCTATGATTTTGTAGCAATATTTTTGACTTACCTTTCTATTTTGTTTTTGCTGTTCATGTTTTGGTGTCACATCTAAGAATCCATTTCCAAATATACGGTTCTGAATCTTTATTCCGTTTTTTCTGTTTTTCCCCCCTACAGTTTTTATGGTATTAGCGTTTATATTTAGGTTGTTGATATATTAGAAGCCCAAATTCCTTTTTTAGCTAGTGGAAATCCAGCTGACCCAGCACAATTTATTGGTATCCTTGTCCAAATGAATTTGCTATAGATGTATGAGTCCACTTCTGGACTCTCAAGTCTATTCTATTTGCTTATATGTTTAGTCTTCTACTAGCACCACACTCTTTTACTGCAGCTTTGATATCAGGAAGTAAGAGTTCTATGATGACTTCTTTTTCTGTCATGTTTTGGCTATTTGGAACTCCGTGAAATTCTATATGAATTTAAGAATCAGCTTCTGATTTCTGCAAAAAAAAAAAAAAAAAAATGCTGTTGGAATTTTGATACTGATTACAATGAACCAGCAGATCACTTTGGGTAATATTGACTTTATTTTTTTTTTAAGAAATATTAATTCTTCTGAACACTTAGTTGTATCTATTTGTTGTTTGTTAAGTGCCATCTAATCAGTTCCAACTCATATCAACACTGTATAGGGTGTTTAAGGAGTGACTGTTGAATTTGAACTGCTGACCTTGCCATTCAAACCAACCTTGCAGCCCAGGGCTTATCCTACAGTGCCACACTAGGACTTCTACTTGGTGGTAGTTTACAGCAATGTTTGTTTTAATGACTTTTGAGGTTCTAGCATTTGAGTTCCTTTACATAAGTCCCTTGTTTCACCCAACAGAAATATAGACCAAACATAGACTCAATAAAAACAAACAAGGAATTGTGTTGGAACTATGTAAAATTCAGGCTAAAATACTGGTGATTCTTCTGCCCTGTCCCAGCAGTAAATGAATCCATTTCACTTTCAATGGTTTGCCCTGGTCCCTTAATCTGATCAGGATACATGCACTGTTCAAATGAATTCACAGAGTATAATGTAATTGTTTGGAGACAATTGCACTGTTTTGCTTCTCATTTTCATTTCATGCCGTCTGCCATATATTTATATCCAGAATGGAAATCAGAATCTTAGGTAGAAAACTACTTTTATGATAAGATTGAGGAGACAATAAATATCTCAGCTAAACAGATTTATGTCCTTAAGTACACCTAAGAGCAGTGTGATGGTAAAAAACAAACCAAAACAAACAGCCTGTCTTCCACTGTTTTTCTCTGTTACTTTTCACATACTACTTCACATTTTTTGTTTGACCCGTTAGTATTTTTCCATCTGTAATCAGAAAAAAATAATAGCACTACCCCTTAGGATTGTTATAAGGATGAAATAAATCAATACATATAGTAAACACTTAAAACAATACTGTTGGTGTTGTTGTTAAGTGCTGTTGAGTCAGTTCTGACTCATGGAAACCCTGTAAGAGGAGCAGCTTTTGGGTTTGAACCACTGACCTTATAGTCCAATGCTTATCCTACAGTGGCACAGCAGAACTAATACTATGTAAATTATGCTCATTTGAACAGTCTACCTCCACCATTTTCCTAGTGTTTTAAATAATTATTTTTAGCATGAAAATGTTTGCTAAACTTATAACCTTTTATATAAACAGGAAAATAATTTAAGTTTTAATCCATATTATAACCCCAGGGGAGGTGGTGGAGGCTATCAGTCCAATGTAAAAGAACACATGGATTTTCACAAAAAAGAAACTAAAGATCATTCCTGCTGTTACACTGGGGAGGACAGAGTGTTCCACACATTGTAACTATAAGCACAAGTCAAAAACTTGATGTACGTTATTCATTTAAATCTTATCAACAACCCTGGGAGGTAGCTAGTAGTTACCATGTTTTACAGGTCACAGAATGATGATGCAGGGGGGGGTCAAGGCTTCCCTAGGGGCAGAGTCTACACTTAGATTCTGATTTGAAAGCCCATGGTCTTAGATTATTCATGAGATTTTTTTCCATGACCACAAGAAATAAAGGCTTTCAACTATATTTTGAATGATAAAAAATCCAATGAAGATTGAATTTGCTCACCTCAAGACCTATAGAAAGTCCAGACACTTGCATCTAAATAGGTTGCGATTTTTCTGAAGTCACTCAACTAATAAGGGATAGAATTTTAGTTAGAACATTTCTATCAGCATCAGAAATCTCTACAAAAGAGATTCCAAGAATCTAACATAACTTTCTCTATAAAAGCATGGCATAGAAAACACAAAAATATAAAAGAAAACCCAACTATATGTAGTTGTTTTAAGTTGTTGTTATTGTTAGGTGCCATCGAGTTGGTACTGACTCACAGCAACCCTATGCACAACAGAACGGAATACTGCCCGGTCCTGGACCAACCTCCCTATTGTTGCCACGCTTGAGCCCATTGATGCTGCCACTTTGCCAATCTATCTTACTGGGGGTCTTTCTCTGTTTCTATGACCCTCCGCCTTATCAAACATATCCTTCTCATGACTGGTCCCTCCTGACAATATGTCCGAAGTATGAGAGGCGAAGTTTGGCCATCCTGGCCTTCAAGGAGCACTCTGGCTGCACTTCTTTCAACACAGATCTGTTGGTTTTTTTGGCAGCCCATGGCACTTTCAATATTCTCCTCCAACACCATAACTCAAAAGCATCAATTCTTCTGCAGTCTTCCTTATTCACTGTTCAGCTTTCATATGCATATGAGATTATTGAAAATGCCATGGCTTGGGTCAGGCGCACCTTAGTACTCAAGCTGACATCTTTGCTCTTCAACGTTTTAAAGAGGTCTTGTGCAGCAGATTTGCCTAATACAATATGTTGTTTGATTTCTTGGTTGCTGCTTCCATGAGTGTTGATAGTTGATCCTTCCATGAGTGTTGATAGTTGATAGTTGAACTATAATATTTTCTCCATTGATAAGAATACTATTGGTCCAGTGGTGAGGATTTTTGTTTTCTTTACATTGAGATACAATCCATATTGAAAGCTTGTTGTTTTAAGAGTTTTAGAAAAAAAGCAAAATGTTGTATAAAATCTGATTTCCCTTTATATTGATTTCCTAAGGCTAAGTAACAAATATCACAAACAGAAATTTATTGTCTCATAGTTCTGGAAGTCTTAAATATCAAATCAGTGTTGGCAGGCCAGGCTTTCTCTGAAGCTTGGGTAAAAGGGTTTCTTGCCTCCTCTAGCTTCTTGTAGTCGCTGGCAATATTTGTACGGCATCCCTTGGTTTGTGGCAGTATAATTTCAATTTCTGCCTGTTTTCACATGGTAATCTTCCTTAAGTTGATGTCTCTGACCAAAATTTCTTCTTTTATAAGGTCACTAGTCATTGGAGCCCTGGTGTGTTGTAGGATAAAGCACTGAATTGCAAGGTCGGTTTGAGCCACAAAGTCAGCAGTTCAAACTCACCAGCCACTCCTTGGAAATTCTATACAGGGTTGCTATGAGTTGGAACCGACTTGACTGCACTTAACAAGTCACTGGATTAATGTCCATCCTAATTTTGTATGGTGTCCTTTCACTTGACAACACCTGCAGACTTTAGTTCTAAGCTTACAGGTTGTAGGTTGTCTCAGTTATCTACTTCTCTAACAAAAATATCACAAGTGGGTACTTTAAAGAATAGGATTTTATCATCCCACAGTTTTGGAGGCTAGAAATCCAAATCAGGGAGGGTCTTGCCTTGTCGGTAGGCCCAGGAGTTCCTTGGTGTTGACATCAACCTGTGTTTATTTTGCTCTTTTTCCAAGGCATCATTCAGAAGGGATTAGGTTTAGCACCCACCACCCACCATACTGGAGTCCAAGCGTGACACTGTAGGATAAGCTCTGGACTGTTAATGGCAAGATTGTAACTTCAAATTCACCAGCCGCTCCTTGGAAGCCCTGTACAGGGTCATTTTGGGTTGGAATACCTTACTTGGTAGACATTCATTAAGATAACAAAATATCTATTTCCAAATAGGACCAGATTTACAAGTAGAAGTAGTCTGTATTTCAACTTTATCTTTCAGGGACATAATTTTATCCATTACATGGTTGGACATATACTTTGGGCCAACACTCTTCAATCCAGTACACCCACAATTTTCCCAAATGGTTGCCACCATGAATGGTTTATAATGGTGTCTTTTTTCCTCCTACTTACTAGATCTCAGTCTGTGGTAGAAGCTGGAACCCTGAAATACGAGAAGGGAGAGATCGAGAACACCCAATCACTCTTGGCTCTGGACTGAACCTGAATTATCTAGACAGTCTGCACATCGTCAGCCTTCAGTGGTTCCAGCCACCTAGGAAGCACACACGCAACTGTCACTCACAAACCTGTGCATCTGGCTTGACTCACTTTGCCATCCAGTAATGAATTTCACCAGCCATCTATTGGAGCAGCCAAACTTAGTAAAGATTTGAGTGATGCTCTTTTTCGGTGAGGAGGATGAAGCAAGACATTCATGTAAACAGTTCCCTCCTTTTTTGTGCTATTAAATGAACTGACAAAAGAAAAACTAAATTTGATATACATTCTTCCATAGGACAATTTTTTTTTCCTGAGATACTGAATAGGGGCCTTCCCAAAATTAGCAAATTAAGATAAAGTGCATTTTCAAGTAAATACATTCAAGTTAAACTCCCCAGGGCATAACATCTCTGGTAAAAAAAAAAAAAAAAAAAAAAAAATTACATTCTTCATGAAATTTTTCATTGGTTTCATCACCAGCATCAAATTGTCTAGTCTAAGAGCACATTCTTTTATCTCTGGCTATTTACAGACTCTGAATCCTGCAAAAATGATTTTGACATCATAGCATTTACTAGGCCACCTACTGACTAAAATGAGCTGGTTTTAAAAGAAGACACTTGAAATAAAATTGCTTCTTAATAATATGATTTCCCATAGGCAGCCACAGAGTGTCTCTTAGGAGAATCTCATTAAAAACACATGTCAGTGATGAATGAATCCATTCAAATTACATCACTTGGGTCACTACAGCAAAGGAAAGAGCTACTAAACCATTTAAACTCCAATATTTTTGCAACCAGTAAATTTGTGTGAAGTAAGGGCCTGGCTGTTGCTGAAATAGTAGATATCCAATGACGACAGATCATTCTTATTTTTGAAGGAATTGCTACATACATTAATACTGAAAAAAAGGGAAGACAAGGAATGCAGGATGAAATGCCAAAGACCATTTTATTTCTTTATTCTCCTTAGAAATGGAATCCCCAACTACTCACTCAAAGGAAATTGGATTTAAAATAAACAGGTATGATAGAATATGATATCTTGTGCCATGCTTCCCAAAACCAGTTGTATATTTTTGCCTATTTCTTATTCTCCCAGCCATCTGCACAATATGGAAATTCATTAGTATAACACGTTAGTGTTCAATGTCGAACAAGAATATTTTAGTTAGTGATCATCAGTAAAATATTTTAAAAATTTAAGTATTTGGGAGGGTTGTTAGCTGAATTCAAAGAAAGAGATAATTCAACTGGTCACAGTCAACCCCAAAAAGCATGATTACTAATCTTAGTAATTTATTTTAACTCCTTCTCAATGTATTTAATGTTTCAGTTTTTTTCTATTTTTAGAGCATAACAGAAGCAATTTTTATATTCCAGTAGGCAGAACCCTTGAAGAAATACAATTGAAGTTAAAAGAATTAAAAAATACTTCTTGGTCAACTGCATCAATGCATAAATAAAACTAATTAATCTTGTGTAGACATTTCAAATCACAAAGTAATACTGAAGTACTTCTACTAATGAAATGACTAATAGTTTCCTTACATATCATGACTTAGCAAACGAAGAATTAAGGTGAATTAGAAAATCTATTTTGTTATTTAGGTTTATAGAATAGTTGTGGGACCCAAGTATTTAAAATACTGTTGGAATCAATGATTGCCAACATCATGCAAAAGTGATGATAATTATGGCTTTTCAACTGGCAATATTTAGAATCCTACTGTAGTGACCCAATTTTAAATTTTATATTTACTAAGTTAATAAGAGCTAGTTTTTATCTATACCATAATTTCTGTAAATGACTGTGAGAGGATGGCTCCACACTGAAAATTTAGGGTTTGAAATTTATTTCACTACATGCATTATTCATATAAGAACCAAATTCGGTTTGTGACACAAATGTTACAACATGAGAAGTAATTTCTTTTCATCAACAAATACTCAAGGATACAAATATCTTTAAAATTTTTAAAGAGTTTTCTTTTTCTTCTGGATTTTGATGATTCATTTTGAAATTTTCTTCTTTTATTAGAGTGGGTTTCATTTTTTTTAAACATTGGCAAAAAATAAGGTAATTAGATAAATATTTTGCAACTCTTCTACCAGAAGCTAACATCCTTAGTGCCAAGCAAAAAGTCAATTTCAATTTCAATATCTTTTAATTGAGAAAAAAAAAAAAAATGTTCTCTACTTGTGAATGGAATTTGTTAAACTATGTGTCTTTTTTTTTACTATTTTTGTTCATATTGGTTTAGAGTTCAATGCACGAATATCATTACATTCTTATAGCTAACTATTCTAGTCAGCTTTCATTTAAAAATTTATAAAATTTAATGAACTCATACTTAACTAAATTAATAACTTGATCATCTTTGGAATGAGAAGTAGACAAGACCATTTCTCAACTGTTATTTCTACATTGTGGGTAATATTAAAACTAAACTATGAATAATAATTGCTAGTTCAAAGTGTCACTTAATGTTTAAATGGCAGAAGCTTCTCAAGCCAGGAAGATAGAAGAGTCTTTCAGGCCTTCCAAAGAGAAAAGCTATTTCTACATCCTATACCCAGGATACTCTTCTTGCTTCTCTTCTACACTGCCATCCTAATACTACAGAATTGTCATGGGAATCCTCTGAAGAACCAAAGGGCCTTTTTGCCTTTTGTGTGTGTGTGACTCACATGCACCTACAGTTGGTACTGACACTGTGGATTCAAGTTCCATAAGATGGCAAAGAGGCCAGAAGCCAGGTGCCCTTAGCAGCCGCCAAATATACCTGATCCTCAGAGTAAATTTTTACTTTGAGAAATTTTGCTTTTTTTCCCTCCTATATAATACTTGACATTAAAAATTTTCACTTGTGATATTTTATTCCATGTTCTTTCTGACTGTAAAAGTTCCTCATAGAGATTGTACATAGTAACTATGTTTCCCATTAGCACAGTGAGGGGAGAAACTAAAACACTCACTTTTAACAAAGCAAAACTTACTCAGTAGGCATGGATTAGTATATTTCATAGACATTGGGATAATGAAATCTTTGTCCTTCATATTGGGAAATTAATACAGTTTCTCTTACATGAGTGTCTCACTAAAAAGACATAAAAGAGGGAAGTGTACATTCACCAGAAGTTACTATTAAATAGCTAGAAGTAAAACCTATTCACAGCTTGCCACTGAAATCAACAATAAAAAAGTAGTGGTGCAAGATGACAAAATAACCTAGCTACCCTACAAAAATATAAATTTATACAAAAATGGCAAACTAAAGCTCTTCATTCACACTTTCTACATACATTTGCATTGAACATCAATTTAGACCTCTTCTAGATGAAAAAAACAAAACAAAACAAAAAACTTTAACTATCCTGTACTCAGATTCACCAGTGAAGAAACTGGGCATTTTCTGCATGAATCAGAGTTATGCAACAATCCCCTCTACTGTCTTCTTCCCTAGGAAAAAGGGGCCCTGGTGGAAGAGACTTTTCAGTTGTAAGTCAAGGGAATTTACAGCTTTGCTGTTTGAACTGCTCTCCCTGCACCCAGGAAGATTGAACTGGAATGGCAGCTTCTTTGCAATGAGTCTTGGGTCTGCACAACAGGTTAAATTGCAGGAAGACTATGCTTCTGTTGGGGTGTCAGTTCTGGGTGCCACACATCCACAATGAAGATCAGCCGGAAAGATGAGGCATCCTGCCACACCTCATGCTCAAAGGAGTCATCAAAAATGAGCACCTTGCCTTCTTCCCATGTCCTGAAACAGAAACGTGGACTCTTTTATATTATAGATGGTTCAGATTAAAATACATACATACATACATAAATAAATAAAACCTTAAACAAAACATATGGGGTTCTCCCTACTCATGGGTAGAATAGTTCCGTAGGGTTTTGGCTCCAACCTTTCTGGAAGCAAATTACCAGATCTTTTCTTCTAAGGCACTGCTGGATGGTTTTGAACCTCCAATCTTTAGATTGGTACTCTAGCACAAACTATTTACATCAAGGACCTTGATGTCTGAAGATAATTCATGTCTATGTGCAAGAGTCCTGGTGGTGCTGTAGAATTAAGCACTGGATTGTTAACCACAAGATCAGCAACTCAAACTCATCAGCTGCTCTACAAGAAAAGGATGAGGCTTTACAATTTTTTTTTTAATTTAAAAACTTACAGCCTTGGAAACTCTACACATGGTTGCTGTGAGTTGGAATCAAATCTGTGGCAGTGTTGTGCAAGAGGTCATTTAAATAGTAAATGACAGACAGGGAATGCATGCCCTGTAGTTCATGCTGAATGACTTATACAATAATTCTATGGAAAGACTCTCTTCCATGGCCTGTCAGACACTGAGTTAAACCTTTAGGTACTGGTCATGTATATGGAAGCACCTCTCTGTCCTGTGGGATACCTAGCACAGTGCCTCTACAGCATCAAGAGGTTTTCTTTTCAACCCATACCATTGGTTCAAATTCCATTTTATGGCAGACAGGTGTTTAGAAGTTCAAACCACGTGACTAGGAAGTAGATAACCAAGTTAGGTATTTCCTAGTTAGTTGAGGAAAATGAGCAGATTTAGAATTGATTTTGTTTATATTTTTAGTGTTATCTGCTATGCAAGTGGGCTATCTATGGAATAGTTTTCATCAATGATGCAAGGTCTCCAACACTACCTCACAAGATATCTGGAGAGTAACTAATATCTAAATACAGTGTTAGTCTAACCCAGCCAGTCAAGAAGGTACTATGTAGAGTCTGATTACACAATAGTTTTCAAATCCAAAGACAATGAATTAGTCATGCTCATGTTCTCTTTTAAAAATGGATTACTAAACTGGTAATCTATTAAATAATCAGTTATGTTTTTAAAGGCAAATTTTACCAATTTTCTTTAGATATTAAAGTTCCATTCAAGCATTTGAAATATTATATTCTACATTAGTAAAAATTTAAATGATAGGCTAGAGAATGATAGCTCAGTTTCAAATTAATAATGCATAAGGTAGTTTACCTCAAGACAACTATTTCTATCTTATTATGCTTGTTAATAGGAAATCAATCAATACTAATAAATTAAGTAGTCCTGGTGTGGTGCTGTGAGATAAGCACTGGGCTGTTAACTGAAGGGTTAGCAGTTCTAACTCACAGCTGCTCCTTGGAAATCTTATACAGAGTCATTATGAGTCTGAATTGACTTGATGGCACTTAACAAAAACAACAAATTAGGTAATGTAACATAAGTTTTCTCAAACTCAGTACTAATTGATATTTTGGGCCAGATAATTCTTTCTTTGGGGGCTGCCCTGTGCACTGAAACATGTTTAGCAGAATGCCTTACTAAAGATACTAGTAGCACCTCTCCCAATTGTAATAACCAAAACTGTCTACCAAAAGCCCCCCAAAACTCACTGTCCTCAAGATGATTCCCACTCACAGAGACTCTATAGGACACAACAGGCTGTAATCCTTATGCAAGCAGACTTCCACATATTTCTGCTATGGAGTGGCAGATGGATTCAAACCATGGATCTTTTGGTTAGCAGCTGAGCCTTTAATTCCTGTACCCCAGGGCTCCTAAAATTATCTAGTCATTGACAAATATTCCTTATTGGGGGCAGGGGAAGGCAACTAGGATCCCTAGTTAATTATTACTGACATATTAAACAACTTTGATAAGATTTCCAAATCAATTAGAGTAACTGGTAAAATAATATTTTACCAGTCTAAGGTCTCACATTCAGTGAACATGTATTGATTGACTCTAATACAATTTCTCCAGAGGTTCAAAGACAATTGAATTCTATCCAATTTAACAAAGGACAAAATATATAGACTCATGAACAAATTGAGTAAGTCAAACATGTATTCGCTAACATGCAAAATGAAACTTGAAAGGAGAGGCAAAGTGCAAAGAAAATGACAATGAGAAAAAGAAGAAAAGTGATCAACAAATAGAATTTGTTGCTAGCTGCTGTAATGCTGACTCATTATATTCCTACATACCACGGAATGAAACAATGCCAGGACCTGCACTATCCCCATGACTGGTTACAGAGTGGATCACTTTGATCCACAGGGTTTCATTAATTAATTTTGTTGCCTTTCCTAGTCCATCTTACTCTAGATGCTCCACTGAAACCTGTTCAGCATTATAGCAACATGTAAGCCTTCACTGACAGACAGAGGATGGTTGTGTATGAGAAAAAATCAAACCTGATCTCCTGAATGGAAGGATAGAATTCTACCACTGACAATCATTTTCTAGGTTTTGGTAATTAAGCAATGTCAGTGGGTATGACTGACAAGACTATAGGCAGAAAGAAGGGGAAAAGAGTGCATAAAAAGGGGTGGCCAAAGAGTATTACATGGCAAAGAGAAGGGGAGATAAGTGGCATACCATGATGGAGGCCAATTTAAACTTCTTGGCTATGCCATTACATGGCCCTGAATGAGCTACTTAACATATTTGAATCTTTGCTTCTTTAGCCACAAAGTTAATGTGATAATTAGCATAGTGATTGACATATAGCCGATATTCAATCAATGATACAGATTATGAAACAGGAAATAAAATACAGAAAAACAAAAATACAGAGGTGATAATGTTGGGAAGTTACTAAACATTACAAGTGATGTTACCAAAATTACATTGTTGTTTTGCTCCTTATGATATTTTTATTCTTTCAAGGGAACATGTAAGAACATTTCTTTTAGAAGGATCAGCAGGAGGCTGGTCCCTATGAAGGAGGTTAAAGACACCTTAAATATCTCAAAATGCTGTATCACTCTATCCTTCAGTCTGGTATTTAAAGTCTTCTATGATTTAGATTTGAATCCAATCTTTCACTTTCCTATATGATTCTTTATGTACCCTACACTTTCAGAGTCTGAAAGCACTTAATATTCCTCATATATGGCCTATAAATATTGACTTTTTGCCTTTTCAGATGTCTTTATTTCAGCCAGGAATGCTCTTTTCTCATAGTAGCTGATGTCCAAATTCTACTTCTATTTGTCTTTAAAAACAACCATTTGCAGGATTCTCAAATCTCACCTATAACTGAGCTCTTTGTCCACTGACCTATCTGTAGCATTTGATCTCTGTCTCTATGACTCGTTTGACATCTGATTTTGTGCTACAATTGTTGATAGTTACTGGGTGGCACAAACAGGTAGTAAGTGTTCAACTATTAGCTATAACCCAAAGGTTCCTTGAAAGAAAGGCCCAGAGACCTACTTCTGTTAGCTTCGAAAACTGTATGGAGCTGTTCTACTCTGCACACATAGTCAGAACTCTGTGCCATGAGTCAGAACTGAGTGAACAGCAGCTAATAACAACAATTTTCCAAATAGACACAACTGGCAAGAGAAGGTCCCATGTAAATCCTCTTTGAATCTGTATTATGTGTAGCTCAGGTACCTGAAGTTTCCAAATGAATGACCTGGAGACTTCAAGACCCTCATCTTCCACTTGCACCTCCCTTCAGGACAATGAGAAATGAGTAAGATAATGACTGAGCTCTGTTCAGAGAACTTACAGCTAAGTTGTGGAGATGTGGCTCAGATACTAAGGAATAAAGAGCAGAGAAGATTAAGATGCCAGTTTTACTGAGAATATATAGTCTAGCAGTCAGAAGAGAAATTTCATTCTAAGTTGAACCTCCAATAATATGCCTGTTGTGGATAAGTAAAAAGAAGGGCATTCCAAATAAAGACGTAACCAGATTATAGGCATACAAGCCAGAATGAATGTGATTTATTCACAGGATCATGGATAAACTCAGCGATAAGAAAAGGAAGAGGCAGGAAAAAGTGCCCTCACATCTATCACATTCCTACTGATGCTAGGACATGGACTCCATATCTTTCATCCATAGAATAATCCTGCAACATAGATATGCTCGCTGTCCATTTTATAAGAGTCTGAGGATATGAAGCTCAAAGGGATTAAGTGTCTAGCCAAGGTTAATGGGATTAGATGACCAAACTGGGATTTGAAAAAGACAGTTAGTTGCCTTCTACTGCACCATACTGCCTCCTCTAGAACAAAACACACAAGTATCATTGGAGTCGTCTTCAGAGAGGAGGAATTCTTGTATTTATAACAATTCAAATTATAAAGCACACAATACAGTACCTGACACATGTAAGTGCTCAAGTGTTACAACAACACATGTAAGTGTTGTTGCTGTTGTGAAGTGTAATGGAGTCAGTTCCGACTCATAGTGACCCTGCATAGGGTTTCCAAGGAGTGGCTGATGAGCTTGAATCGCCAACCTTGTGGTTCAAACCAACCTTGCAGTCCAGCACATTATCCCACAGCACCATACCAGGACTCCAAATGGAAGCCTGTCACTCTCACAAAGGGGCTGGTCTGCCACAAAGTGCATGCTAGGGACAAGTTAATATGAAGGGCATCTGTTGAGTTTGGCAGTCTCTCCAGACTAGCAGAAAGCACTGAGAAGGGCCTTGAACTAAAAAATTTGTATTAAATCCTCTCTCTGAAGTCCATTTTAGTTACAAAGAAAGATGAAGAAGCAACTACACAGAGCTTTGCTGTCACTGAACATCCATCTTCAAAAGTGACAGATGCCTGTGGAAAGAATTGGAAGAAACATACTTGGTCTCTCTGGCACATCGGATCTTGCAGCCTTCCTTGGGGATCACCAAGCCCAGGTGCATTCGGAGTCTGCAATTTGTTGGCCCTGTGTGAGGCCACACATGCGTCCCTGGGTGCATGACAGAATATTTGATCTGCATAAAAAATAATACACTCCAATATTTAGTCATTCATCAAATGCAGAGAAGTTATTAAAGTGACAGTACAAAATGACTGTCAATTTGAATTAGAGCCTTTGTAAGCATCAAAATGTATTATCACCTTATTTCTTTTTTGAAGGGACTAAAAACAAGCACACAATTTTCCACCAAGCAATAAACATTGAACATTTTCCATCTTCCAGTCTGATGTTAACCACATAAAATTTTGTTTCATTAAAAAGAAAGTAAAAAAAGGAGGAGGCATCTTTGTGCCAAGAGGAATAATCATTTCATTATGAATGTCAGCATTCCCTTATTCCAAGAAATGATCCCAAGCACTAATAATATTATTAGCACCTGTCCTCTTTTGCATCCTGTTGTCTCGGGGAATTTTTCCAGAAGAGCACAAGTTTTAGGAACTCCTTTACAAGCATTTTCATTTTTTCTTCCTAGAACAATAAAAGATAAAACTGTCATCAGAAACAAATCAAAGTAAGTTTTTAACTCATTAGTTTTAACAGCATGTACCTGTTTTGTCATCTCATTTTAGAAATCAGAAAGTTGAACAAACATAAGGCAGCAAACTGTGTGGCTCAAATAGTAGTTGGTAGAGCAAGGACCAGAATTCTCTACTTAAGTTTTGATTTGACTAAAGGTGTCCAATCGATAGGCTGGTGTAGAATCTGTGGAACCTGCGAATATGCTGTGTTACAAAAACAAGGAATTATTGTTGCAGATGGAATTAAGGTTATTAATCAACAGACTTTGAGGTGAGGAGATTATCCTGTATTATCCAGGTGGACTCAACTTAATTACAAAGGTTTGTAGAGTAGAAAAAAGAGGCAGAAGAGTCAATGTTAGAGTGACGCAGTTAAAAGGACTTGACTGGTTATGACTGGCTTGGAGGATGGATGAGGGGACCACAAGACAAGGAATGTCTTGAAAAGATGGAAAAAGCAAGAAAATTGATTCATTCCTAGAGCTTCCACAAAGAACATAGCACTATTCTAACTCACTGGGATCCATTTACAACAGAGCAAAATGCTACCTGATCCTGCACTATCTTCACAAGCACTGGTACACTCAATTTCAATGCTGTAGCCACTGCATATTTTGAGTGTCTTACAACCTAAGGGACATCTCTTCCAGCACTGTATCAGACAATATTCTGTTATAATCTAAAGGGTTTTCATTTAAGGAAGTGGATTGTCAGGGCTTTCTTCCTAGACTGTCTTAGTCTGGAGGTTCTGCTTAAACCTGTCTATCCTGCTAGTATCTGAAACAACAGTGACATAGCTTCCATTAGCTATGATGAAACAGCTATGAGATAGGATGACAAACTGACAGATAAAACAGTCAGTTAGTTTGTGGCAATTTGTACAGCAATAACATGAAACTCATACACCCCCTAAGAAAAATAGCTTATATTATACTTTTAATCTAAAATATATTTCTGTAGTGATAATAGTTATCTTAATATTATTTCTAACTGTATCTGGATGATTTTCCAATGTACAGATCATATCTGATAAATAATAGAATTGACATTTTTGAGAGATAAACAGCCAACATATTCTCTTGTTGTTGTCATCAAATAGGTTCCGTTTCATAGTGACCTTGTATAAGATTTAAAAAGAGCAGCTGGTGGGTTTCAACTGTTGACATTGTGGTTTTGTTTTCAAAATGGATTTACTTTTATACAGATACTGTTAACCTAAGTTAACTTGATTTTTCAAAAAGCATACTGGAAAGAACCTTAAAGATAAAATTCAATGCTTCACATTTTAAAGTTAAATTATTAGATAAATCTATCAAATAATCCATTGAAACCCCTTTTGTATGCCTGGGTCTAGGAGTTCTGGTGCTGTGGGTTAATGTGCTGGACTGCCAGGTCAGTTTGAACCACAAGATTGGTGGTTCAAGCTCATCATCTGCTCCTTGGAAACTCTATACAGGGTCACTATGGGTTGGAACCAACTCAACGACACTTAACAGCAACAACAACAGGTTATACTTGTGGAATGCAAAGTTGAATATGGACTCTTTCTCTTCTTAAAGAGCTTGTTTTTTTGCTTTATTTTCTAGGTATTTTATTATGACTAAAACTCATGCATAGTGATTCATTTTTGGCAACCAATATAGTTTCCATTTTATAGGAACAACTAAGACATTGTTAGTACATAACTTTTAAGTTATGCCAAAACAATAGCGTTCCTATCAGAATCATTTATCATGAGAGAAATCAAGAAAGATGAAATACCATTTACACTTGTTTATTAAAATATGCATATGAGTGCATACACACTTATAAATGCATATAAGGAAACACAGTGGCTCCATACAATAAGCACTGGACTGTGAATCACAAGGTCTGTGGGTTGAGCTTATCAGTCACTCTGCAGGATAAAGATGAGGCTTTATTTTTTCTTCCATGTTTTATTGTGAATTATATGATATTTTACATGAGAGAACTTTAGTTTTACATTCATCCCATCGTATATCGTCTCATTGCCATGGATCCAATCCCTTCCATGCACACACGAACACTAAGTATTCATAAACAGTTTTTAAAAATAACCATGAATTAAGAACCTAAATGTGAATCCCAGAA